GTCCAAGCCAACGACACAATTGCTTATTCTCTTGACTGGAGTGTGTCGGGGACAAAGCCCAACACCAATCATAGATACCAAAATCAGCCAGATGCGAGATATCTTTCGTATTACCGGAGATCCAACCAGCACCACAGTCATCACCTTGTCGAGAGTGACCAAGAACCATGTGACTTCTTAATTCCAAACAATAGATAAAGACTTGATCCCAAAACACTTTTGGGATCCCTCTTCTTGTCATAAAACGAACATACATTTTTGTTGCTTCTCGAATACAATCTTCAGCAAGGTTCTGATCAGGATTGTAAGACTCGCTAGGATGTATTGGAACCTGGGCCTTATTTGCGACTCTTCGAAATTCTCCAGCAGTCAACGACTGAGCATCATCAGGTCAGAGAACTCTTGGAAAGCCAATATCACGAAATAGTTCCTGGAGCGAGTTGCTCACTTCAGATTCTTTCTTCAAAGCGTAGCCACGGGCCCATTGACAGGCAGTAGCATAGACAGCAACATATGTATTTCCTTCAGCAGAAACACAGGGGCCTTGTTTGATATCGGCCCAAATATCAGCACGCAACCTAGGATATTCAAGTTGGAACTGAGTGGGGCGAAATCGTCTTGAGCCTTCGACTTTAGTCCAGTCCCGCAAAGCACGCTGGGTTGTTTTCCTGAGGGTACGACGGGCACATTCAAGGCTGATTCGCCATCTTTGCGCAAGTTGTTCAGGTTTGACCAAATAGCTCTTGCCATCGGTTTTAACACCATCGATGGTCGCCTCAACTCTGTCCCCTAAAGCGATAGGAAGAGCAAGTGGGCAAATAGAGCGGTAGTTGGGATCAGAGCGTTCAACAGAATAGATTCGTTGAGTGGCAATGTCCCCTTGATATTGACGTCGTAGATTTTGTTCGATGCAAGAGGATTCCGGGTCATAAGGTTCCCAAGGGACGGAACTGGTCATTTCCACCGAGACATATTCATCAAGTTCAGACAGCGCAGGTTTGCGACAAGCAAAGAAGCTGATAGGCTTCAGGAAGTCCATCGGAATATGTAATCCCGAGTTTTCATCAATAATGGAATGCGAATATTGATTGCAATCTTCGCGTTTCAGACGTTGGAGGGGCACATCATTCACAATTATACCAAAATCTCGAAGTTGATCAACACAAAGGAGATTACTTTTCATGGTTGGGATGTACAATGCTTGATCAAAGATCAAGATATACGTTTCAAGGGACAGAGGACAATCATAAGCAACGGCAACTTTCGCAACTTTAACGTTAGGCACAATGCCGAGCGAGGGATCAAAGCCTTTAACTGTCAAGGTATGGGGATAGGTTGCAAGAACCAAACAATTTTCGCCAAAAGCACAAGTATCTGCGTGTGAGTCAAGCTCACATTGGGGCAAGGAGTGGGAAAGGGACATTAAAACACGAACACGAGAGGAAAGGGAACAAGTAACACAAATCTGATAGTCGGCCTCATGTCAGCGACGGCCACGTCGAACTCCACTACCAACGTTGCCAGAAGAGGGTGCTGGAGCTGGTGAAGGTGCGGGTTCTTCACTTTGTTGGCGGTCACGATTTTGTTCACGAAAAGAGTTCAATTCTGCAATGTCACGTTCACTCATAAGACAACTGTTAGCACGTTCACGGGCTTGAAGGACAACACGGCGATCACGATCAGAAAAACGGCTCCAAGCGTCTTGGGAGTATCCACCGTTGTTGAGGATGGTCGTGCCATCATCGGACCATACAGTACCATCGTGGTCTCGACTACCACCTTGTCCGCGACCCCCGCCACGTCCATGTTGATTACGATTACAATTATGGCCACCACGATCACAACCACCATTATCACGATCATGTCCACGGCCACGTCCACGGCCACGTCCGGGATTGGAGTTTCGTCCCCCACCATCGACCGCAGCTAAGGCTCTTGTGCCGCTGATCGCAGTTAAGCGATGAGTTTGCTGGGCCCTATCTTCAGTCTGCAAAGTGTTGATAGCGGTGCGCAGGTTTTGCATACATACTTGACTTCCTCGGACAAGTGTCTTACAGGCGTCCAAGCCTGCGCCCTGCGGGCCTTCTTTGATCATGCTCAAGAACTTGGTTACCTTGGCATGTTCCGACATGCCATCGCCACAATTTTTCAAATCTTCAAAGGCACCAAGAACCTGTGCCGCAAATTTTTCAAAACTAAAATTCTTCTTTCCATTGTAGTGGGTTGTATTCAAGACACGGTAGGCAGAGTCGCGCCTCTTATTGAGTTGGCCCTCACCCTGATAGTGGGCAACCAAATCAAGATACGCTTGCCTTCCATTTTCTGTAGTCTTGTATCCTTTGATAACAGGCCAAGCATCAGTTCCATGGCAGACCGAATATAACATATTCCACACAGCTTTGTTATTAGCGACAAACTGGTCC